GGTGGAAGAGATTTTCTGGTTCTGCTGTAACTTGTAGTCCACCTCTGCCCGGCTGCACTCACTAGTCTCAATCCGTCAATTGTGGCAATAGGATGCTCATACATAAGGAATGAGGCCTGAGGACGTCCAGTGGGAGGGGCGAAACACGGCAGATGCTGGCCATGGTGACGTCATTTCAGGCCAGTGGAGCGCACTTCAGTGCGGTACTTCCTGGTTCAGTGGTTTTTAATGCTTATTACTATTAAATCAGTGTAAGTGCAATATATACACTTCTGTCCTTTGGATTTTAATAAATGGAATCACACTATGTGGCCTCATAAAAGGGAATGTAAGTTGTATTTCCTGCTGCTCCTTGGCTGATACTGTTATATTCAAAATCTCTGACTTTGTTGCATTAATTTTTAAATTAGAAATTTCCCTATACTGTCTCAACTCTGTAACCACGTTTGGTAACGTTAATCTCAGATTTGATATATAAAATAATAAAATTGCTTACATATGTGGCTACTTTAAATTCACTTTTCTCCAACATAATACTTTTAACACTCACATTTGCTCATATTAAGGATAACATTGGCTCCAGGGAAAGAACAAACAACATCTGCAACATTAGGCACCCCTGTCCTGTACCATTAAATAATTCAAAGGGTTGGGACAGGGGACCATTAACCCACACTTCACAGTAGGATGAAAGTATAACACTATTATCATTTTTAGCCCCAGTCCTAGATTTCTCAGGGTTGCAAAAATAAATCCCCAGTCTACCCTGCCAAATGCTTTCTCAGCATCTATTGACAGGAGTACGACTGGGGTGGGGAAGGGGGTGGTCCTTTATCTCGAACACTATGGATTAACATTAGTGTGTTTTTGGGCAACTATCTTTTCCCTCTGTACCTGGCACAAAACCCGCTTGATCTGTGTGAATCAATTTTGGCATCAGTGCTTTTAGACCTTTCTGCCAATATCTTAGCGAATATCTTAAGTGATCAGTTTTAAAGCTGATATCGGTATATAGCTTAAAGATAGTGGAGTCTTTCCCTTCTTTCAGTAAATAGTAATATAGGCAGCTAAAGTTTCCTTTCACAAATGTACCCCTTCACATAGCAAGTTCAGATACTCACAAAGGAAACGTCTCAAAATGGCAGTGCATCAAGCCTAAGGAATATACATACTGTGAGCTCCAAGACAAATGTGTACCCAATCAGGTGTACCCAACAGAGGATTCTTCAGTGCAACCGGAAATTAACTGTGATTGTAATGATGATGTATACTTAAATTAAGGACAATCACCATATACCAACTAGACCTTGTGAGTCCACAAAGGGAAGCAACCACCAAACTCAAAATGAAGTAAGTAAATGTGTCCACTTTATTAAACACTGCTAAAAGCAAGCACAAAAAGTAAATGTCCATAAATGGGTTTTCTTAATTGCTCACTCGGTGGCCCTGCGGTGTTAGGCTGAGCCAGTAAGAATTTCCCTTGGCATTGGCTGCCTTTGCTTATTAATTTCACTCCCATTTTGGTATTGGTTCTGCAGCTGGGTACTTTTGTATGGACCCTGTTCTTGGTGGTTTGGTGCCTCCTGACTTGCCTGGTAGGCTTCTGCTTCACTGGCAGATGTAAGTGTACCAATATATTAGCATAAAACAGTCTGTGGGAGGCGTGAGAGATCAGAATGGGCTCAATAGTCAGTCCCCTCAGCACTTGACGGGCCTTGATAAATACCAGAGTACTAGGTTTCACTGTGCAGCACTGTTGGCCCTCCACTCTCTCTCTTCATCCCTCTAACACTGCTGCCAAGACTGACACAGAGTGTCGGTACTTCCAGCAAGCTCCTGGGACTCTGCTGCTCCTAAGGCACATGGTCTTGGATTCAGGCACACCACATTGCTACCCTGTCTGTGCTACACTGGGTCAGGCATGGTAGCTGCCAAGTCATCACAAGTGCAGGTTTTTGCTACTGTTAGGGCGGGAGGTTGGCTTGGGCTTATACAGCGCTCGCTTACTCAGGGCCATGATTAGGCCACACTCCCCCATGCCATGAGGGAAATCATTTCTGTTGAGGCTCGACAACATGACAGCAGTTCCTTACATAAAAGTACAAGGCAGGACTCGGAGCAAGATGCTGTTGGCAGGGGTACAGCCCATTAACATTAGAAGGATATTTATCAAAATTTCAATATAAAGCAACAACGAGTGAGTCTGGGATGACATCTGGAAGTGGAAATTTTTGCATGTCAGAAAAACCAGAGAATTAGAAGATTTAGATATGAGTTCCTTGCACCAAGGACAGGGATGACCTTCAATATCGCTGGATCTTTTTATCATGGTATGCTTTTAAGCCAGTTCTGATTATGCTTAAGTTTCTTCAGACACTTCCATTGGAAACCGTCAAAGTCATAATTATTATACTGTATTGATCAAATTGTCCTTGGCTTCTTCTTTTGCAATGTGTGAAAGAATCTGTATCATTGCTGGATCTCCTACACCAAGGCCCAAGTATACTGTACATCCTCAAGCTCGAGGCTTAAGGCTCCAACTAATAGTCTGGTTCCTAAAGGACACAAGTTAGGGCACAGGGTTGCACAGAGTGATTTCCACCCTTCTTTTTTCCAAGAAATAATGTATAGTCAGGATTTGCAATAGAATTTGGGAAAAATTAGCGAATAGGTTACTGGAGTTACGAAAATTCTCAAAAGACAGAATATAACTTCCCACAATGATATAATGTATTATAATGTATTCTATTGTTTCCAAGCATGCGCGGTCTTGGTCACTCGATTTTTTATGGAAAATACTGTACTGATTAAAGCAGGCATGTCCAAAGTCCGGCCCGCGGGCCATTTACGGCCCGAGGGTCGGTTTAATACGGCCCTCCATGTCAGTGTGTCAGTGTGTCTTATGGAGCGAATATGGAGCGGCCGGTCCGGTATTTCCACTACGGCCATGTCAGCCGCTCAGCTCTGCAGCGGGACCTTACCTGTTCCTCTATCCAGCGGCGCGCTGTCTTCCCGGCTTCTGTAGTGTGGGCGCTTGGCATGACAGCCGGGTGCCAAGTGCGCATGTGCAAGAAGCGGTGCTTTTTGTGAATGGTAAGGCGGTACCTGGGACACATGAAAGATCCCAGAAGCCGCCGGACCAATCACAAAGCGCCAGTGCTTCTCGCTCATGCACACTGGGCACCCGGCTGTCATGCCAAGTGCCATTACAGAAGCCGGGAAGACAGCGTGCGGCTGGATCGAGGAACAGGTAAGATCAAAGAACAACTGCGGAAGTAAGAGCGGGTACCTGTCAAATTCAGGTACCCGCTCCCCACCTCCCCAAAGGTCAGCAGTCATCTGTACTGTCCGCAGTCTCTGGTCATCCCTGTGCTGTCCGCAGTCTCTGGTCATCCCTGTACTATGTCCGCAGTCTCTGGTCATCCCTGTGCTGTCCGCAGTCTCTGGTCATCCCTGTGCTGTCCGCAGTCTCTGGTCATCCCTGTGCTGTCCGCAGTCTCTGGTCATCCCTGTGCTGTCCGCAGTCTCTGGTCATCCCTGTGCTGTCCGCAGTCTCTGGTCATCCCTGTGCTGTCCGCAGTCTCTGGTCTCCCTGTGCTGTCCGCAGTCTCTGGTCATCTCCTGTACTGTGTCTGCAGTCCATTAGTTCAGAATTTTTTTTTCCTGTTTTCTGCCTCTAAAACCTAGGTGCGTCTTATGGTCAGGTGCGTCTTATACGGCGAAAAATATGGTAACTTGGCATAAAATAATTTATTTGCATTTAATTGTAATGGTTCAAAGAATGTTTGGAAAAATGTTCGGCCCTCCACCATGTTCACTTCATCCAATCTGGCCCTCTTCGAAAAAAGTTTGGACCCCTGGATTAAAGGAAAACTGTTCATTCTGTTATGCTATGAGACTTTTTCTTGCTTGTCCCTTTGGTTAATTTCACATGAACTGTTGTAATCGTCTCTTGAAAGCTGTGTACTAATAATCATATTATTTTTCCGAAAACTTTTTTTGTCATCCGATTTTCTTATTGTGTGTACTAGGCTACAATCTACTATCTGCACTGCAGGTGGTGCTTCTCCACTGTGGCACCGTAGCTGGAGAGGAAGTCAAGTGGAACACAGTTCCTCTATGGGTTTCTGGGTCACTGGGGAAGCACCCAATTAGATGCTTTCACCTCATGTTATGCTAGTGAGCGTCTTGGGTCAGGCAAACCCTATTTAAGGCCCTGGCTCCCAGGGTTGGCAAGACTTTTACAAGCTGGCAGTATAGGGACAGGTAATCCGCCTGTTAGGGAAAGTAGCAGCAATAGGGAAATGTTCCTGAAAATGAGGGAAAGCATAGGGATGCAACTTTTTTAGACATCTGCTCTCCTGGGCCCGAGGCGACAAGGCCTCATTCTGCTCTCTCAACAGAAACTGTCAGCCTGGCTGTTAACTGTCTTCTTCATGTTGTTAGAAATCGTGAGTGTACCCAGTTGGGCAGGCATTCCCCTTGGTTGTTGTGAACTGTCGCTGCATTACTTCAATACAAGAGTTTTATTGCACCTGTCTGTGTGGATTACTGCTGCCGCACTACTCTGCACTCCACCTAAAGGCTTAAGCCATGACATAATGCTGTCAGCTTTCAGAGATACTGAAAGCAGGTCTTTATTAGAAGAATTGCTTTCTTTATTGTTTCTTTAAAAAACCTGGTTTTTGGGGTTAAGGGTTTGGCTCCATTAGAGGGAGTGACCACGCACTCAACCAGACGTTTGTCAGCTTCCTGGGTGGCAGCTTGTCACATGCCTCAGAAACATTTAGTGTGAGGTCCTGGTATACAGTTAACACAATTGTTTGTCTTCTGCTTCCAACTCAACTTGGGTTATTTTTCCCATTATTGCAGCAATGGAGTTTGTCAGGAAAACAGAAAACCGCATTTTCATACTTACCTTAAAGTGTTACTAAACCCAGGACATTGCATTCACTATATTTGCTCTCCCACAGTATACAGATCATGGAAGTGCAACTATTTTAGTAAATATAAACTGCTAAATACCTTTTCTCATTGACAGTTAGAGAAGTCTTGTGACTTCTATCAGTGTCCAGCCGAACACATGTTAAAACTTGTAGGAGGCGTTTTCATTCTGCTCTAGCAGGATGCAGGACCCCTGACCCTCTGTCTGGACAGCGCTGATTGGCCCTGTGCTGATCACATGCACTCTCCCAAGTAAAAAAAAAGCCTCTCTAGCAATACACACCAAACTAAGCATGTGCAGAGTGTCTCCACACGATATGTCTTATCAGGAAATAAGAGGGGGGCACTGGAAGAAGGGGAGGATCATAGAAGTCAGGATCATACAGCCTTTTTACACAATGCAGAGGATTAACCTCTTAGGTTCCACAGTGAGTATAACAAGCATGCTTTATTGCATATACAGACTGATTTTACTGTTGTGGGTTTAGTAACACTTTAATTATCCTTTTCTTGCTTAGCTTCATAGCAGCATAAAACCCTCCCATTAGTAAACGGCCCTATGGGGTAGCCAGGGGGGAGCAGACTACCCATTGTTACTGCTATGTAGTTTAGTCAGGAAAAGAAAGCTATGTTAAGTATGGATAGTCTTTTTTTTATTTTATCTGTCTTTGCTTGTATTTATGAAACATCAACTTTTGTAGCAATGGTCAAGTTCAGAGAGAAGTAGTGCAAAACAATGTACAAAAATAGTTTTTTGTATTTATGGAAGCAAGAAAGATTTGATGAATGTGTGGAATTCATCTAGGTGAAGTGGCTGTTATAACAAAAAATAGTGACTTAAGTGACTTAAGGTGTGCCAGATTCATCAGTATGAGATTTAAATGCACTGTATAAAGGAAGAAATTGAATACTTCAGGGTGAAAGAAGGGTGTGTTTAAAGTGTATGTTACCCCACAATGAAAGTTTTCATGTATGGATCTGTTTTCTTGTAAATACGTTTTTGAATTTACCACTTTCTGTTTTTTATTATTATCATTATTATACAGGATTTATATAGCGCCAACAGTTTGCTCAGCGCTTTACAATATAAAAGGAGACAATACAGCAACAATACAGTTCAATACAAGAGGGTTAGGAGGGCCCTGCTCCTTGGAGCTTAAAATCTAAGAGGGAGGGGCTGGTGGTACAAAAGGTAATATTTGTGGGGGATGGACTGGTAGGAGGAATAGAAGAATCCATTATTAGCTGAAGGCAGGATAGGCTTCCCTGAAGAGATAGGTTTACAGAGATCACCTAAACGTGGTCAGTGTAGGCAGTAGTCTGATAGATTGGGGTAGAGAGTTCCAGAGGATGGGGGAGGCTCTGGAGAGGTTCTGGAGACAAGCATGGGAGGACGAAACAAGGGAGCTATAGAGCAGGAGGTCGTATGAGGAGCGGAGAGGACAGTTTGGGTGATATTTGGAGACAAGATTGGTGATATAATTGGGGGCAGAGTTATAAATGGTTTTATATGTTATTGTTAATGTTTTGAATTTTATTCGTTGGGCAATGGGAAGCCAGTGGAGGGATTGTCAGAGAGGGATGGCAGATATGGAACTGTTAGTAAGGTGGATGAGTCTGGCAGCAGCATTCATGATAGACTGAAGAGGGGAAAGCCTGCGATGAGGTAGGCCAATGAGGAGGGAGTTACAATAGTCAAGGTGAGAGATAACCATGGAGTGAATAAGTTGCTTAGTAGTTTCAGAGGTTAAGAATGGGTGTATCTTGGAGATGTTGCGGAGGTGAAGTCTACAAGATTTGGACAGTGATTGGATTTGGCGCTGAAAGGACAGATGGGAGTCTAGGATTACACCTAGCACCCTGGCATGAGGGGAGGGAATGATGATTGTGTTATTGATCATGATGTAGAAGTCAGGGGAGGAGGCATGGGCTGGAGAGAATAGTATAAGCTCAGTTTTAGAAAGATTGAGTTGAGGAAGTGGAGTGACATCCATGCCGATATGTCACTTAATAGGTTAGTAATGCGAGAGGGGTCTGAAGGAGCGAGGTGAGGAGTAGAAAGATAGATTTGTGTGTCACCAGCATAGAGATGATACTTGAAGCTATGGGAGTTTATCAAGCAACCAAGGGAGGAGGTGTAGATGGAGAAGAAAAGGGGTCCAAGGACAGACCCCTACAGAAAGAATAAGTGGAGAGGAGGAGGCAGAGTTATAGGTAAGGCTGCAGGAGCACCGTGATAGGTAGGAGGAGAACCAGGAGAGAGCAGAGTCTTGGAGGCCAAGAGAGTGGAGTTTTTTTGAGGAGGAGGGGATGGTCAACAGTATCAAAAACTGCAGAGAGGTCAAGTAGTAAGAGTATAGAGTAGTGGCCATTGGTTTTAGCAGTTAGTAAATCATTAGTGAGTTTTAGTAGGGCAGTTTCAGTGGAGTGTAGTGAGCGAAAGACAGACTGTAAAGGGTCAAGAAAGTTGTTGTCAGTGAGGTAGGAACTTAGGCGATTGTAGACTAGGCGTTCTAAGAGTTTAGAGGTAAACTGGAGCAGGGAGATGGGTCTTAAGTTGCTCAGGTTGGTGGAGTCCAGCGAGGGCTTTTTAAGTATGGGAATGATGTGCGCATGCTTTAGAGGGGTGGGGAAGGCACCATTAGGGAGGGCGGGATTGAAGATGTGAGTGAGGGAGCATAGGATGGAAGAAGAGGGTGACCATACTAGTTGTGAGGGGACAGGATCCAGGGGGCAGGTAGTGAGACGGGCTTCTGAGAAAACTTTAGTGACCTCTTCAGTAGTAGGAAGGTCAAAAGAGGAAAGTGTTGAGGGAGGTTTAGTATAAGATATGCTAAGTGGGATAGATGTCTGTGCAGTAGAGATGCCCCTACGAATTGCATCAATCTTGTTTTTTAAATGGTTTGCAATCTCGTAAGCAGTGAGTGAGGTACTGGGCAGAGAAAGTAGAGAGATAAAAATAGAGAAGATACGAGAAGACCGGACCGGATGACAAGATATTAACCACTAGCCTACAGGGCACTTATACCCCCTTCCTGCCCAGGCCAATTTTCAGCTTTCAGTGCTGTCGCACTTTGAATGACGATTGTGCGGTCATGCAACACTGTACCCATATGAAATTTTTATCATTTTTTGTGACAAATGGAGCTTTATTTTATAATCACCTCTGGGTTTTTTATTTTTTCTTAAAAAAAAATAAAAACCACTGAAAATCTTGAAAAAAAAAGTTTTTTCTTAGTTTTTGTTATAAAATTTTGTAAATAAGTGATTTTTCTCCTTCACTGATGTGCGCTAATGAGGCTGCAGTGATGGGCACTGATAGGCTGCACTGATGGACACTGATAGGTGGCACTGATTTGCACTGATGAGGAGGCACTGGTAGGTGGCACTGATGGGCATTGACAGGCATCACTGATGGTCACTGAAAGTCAGCACTGATATATGGCACTGATAGGCAGCAGTGATAGGTGGCACTGACTGGCACTGATAGGTGGCACTGACTGGCACTGTTAGGTGGCACTGACTGACACAGTTAGGTGGCACTGATAGACAGCACTGACGGGCACTGATAGGCAGCACTGAGGCACACTGATAGCCAGCACTGACTGGCACTGATAGGCGTCACTGATGGGCATTGATAGGTGGCACTGACTTGCACTGATGGGTGACACTGAAAGGCAGCTAAGATGGGCACTGATTTGTAGCATTAATGTGCACTGGTAGGCACTGATATGTGGCATTGATGTGGCACTGATGGGCACTGATGATCAGTGTACATTTGCCCTCCGCGGAATGCCGATTACCGGCTCTCCTCTCTTCTCGAGCTGTCATCGAGAGGAGAGAAATGCCAATAACCGGCATTTCCCTGTTTACATGTGATCAGCTGTGATTGGACACAGCTGATCACATGACCAAGCCGACATCTTCGGCTCTTTCCGTGGATCGGTGATCCGCTATGTCCGAGGGACACAGCACACCACTGATCGCCGCGCTGCTCGCTCCCGGAGCCGTGTATGCACAGTGAGAATGGGAGGACATCATATGACGTCCTCCCAGAATGAGAGAACCACCTTGCGCCCGTCATTGGACTATATGGTGGGTGGGAGGTGGTTAATAAGAGTGACAAAGTCTTGTTTGTTCCAAACCTTGTTTGGCAGCATGGAGGGAGGAATTAGAGGTTAAGAAAGCAGATTTATATAGAGTGAAAGCTTGCTGAGATTTGGTTTTACACCACAATCGCTCCAGTGCACGACTATGCCGCTTAAGATTTCTAGTGTTTTCAGTGTGCCACGGTTGTAATGGTCGGGGCCTGATGCTTCATGTAGTTAGAGAAGCAAGTGAATCTAGTGTGGATGAAAGTGAACTGTTGTAGACAGCAGTGGCCAGGTCAGGGCAGGACAGGGGAGAGATTCTGTCACAGAGGCGGTCAGTTTCAGAGTGGAAAAGAGAAGGGTTCAAGTTGTGATGGTTTCTGCGGGTAATTGTTTGCTGTTTGGTGGGATAGGTGTTTGAAGACGAGGACACTGAAAAGGTGATGAGATTGTGATCAGAGAGAGGAAAGCTGGTATTTGTGAGGTTGTAGGGAGTGCAAAGATGGGAGAAAACAAGGTCTAATGTATTCCCTTCAGTGTGAGTGGAGGGCTGTGTCCATTGTGTTAAGGCAAAAGATGACGTTAGGTTGAAGAGTTGGGATGTAGTTAGGTTGTTCATATTAATGGGAATGTTAAAATCTCCAAGAATGATTGTGGGTATTTCCGAGGAGAGAAAGTAGGGCAGCCAGACAGAGAAATCATCAAGAAAGCGGGACACAGGTCCAGGAGGCCGTTAGATCACTGCAATCCTCAGAGAAATAGGATAAAACAGCCGAATGCAGTGAGTCTCGAAAGAAGAGAAGGATAGAGAGGGAGGGTTATGGAGGACTTGAAAGGTGCTCAGTGGGGATTAGAAACAAACCAACTCCACCTCCTTTCCGACCACTGGGTCTAGGTGAGTGAGTCCAGAGAAGACTTTAATAGGAAAGTGCTGTTGGAGAAGCAGAATCTACTGCTTGAAGCCAGGTTTCTATAATTGCTAGTAGGTTAAGGGGGCAGGAGACAAAAGGGTCATGGACAGAGGTGACTTTTGATTCCTTTGTTTGCTTTTGTTTACATGGTGATCCTGCTAGTCCCCCTTCTGTCCTTTTCCAATCTGATCATGTTAAGCACAGAAGCAGAATGATGCTAGCATGGTTAGTTTGCATAGCAGGGCTTCATCTTTGAAGATACAGGCCAGCTGTGCCCCTGAACAGCACACTCATATCTCCTGTAGTCAATATATATGCCCATGCCCCCTACTGAGCACTTGCATGTTGATTTACAGTAGCTCCTGGTAGGAGCTTTGCAGTCAATCAACATAGCAGAAACTGGGTGAGGGCATGTGGGTGGCTGAAGCTGTTAGTAACTAGTACAGCAGTGGAGTTGGCTGAGTGTGATGTAATACTTGGCTCTCTTGCTATAGCGACATGTATCCTGTTTTGAGGTCAAGAACCTGAAGGAATGCTGAGCTGTGGCTGCAAGATAAAACCTTAAAAAATGTACACAATTACTTTTTTTTTGTAAAAGTACTCTTTTTTAGACACCAAAAATAATTTGTAATCTTCCTTTGTTTTTTTACAGAAATATTAATCTCCAGTTTTTGCTAGAAAATTTCTTAAACAATTTATCATAGCATATTTTCTGGAATATATATTCAAAGGAATTTTAGTGCACATAAACACAATATAATACCCAATTTTTGGTAAAATATAAAAGGTGGGATTGTGTAGTGTAAATAGATATCAAACATGTCAAGTCTTAAAATTGCACACACCTGTGAATTGGCAAAAAGCTATTTTACCCATAAATTTCCATGCATGACGCTTCAGAAGCCTTTAAATGTTATCATTTTAGAGTTAACTGAATAATGGCCCTAGAATTATTGCTCTCACACCTATGTTGATGGCGATGCGTGTGGCACAATTGCTGCTTACATACAAGTTCCTGTCCTAAATGTTTGTATTTGCATGTGTGCATAGGACAATGGGGTTGCTTCTAAAAAATTTTTTTAATTAATTTTGTTTTTTTTTTAACTTTGTAACGCTTTTTTTATTTATTGATGTATTTTATTTGAAGTATGGTATGAAACCACAAAACAAAAACTAATTTAGTTGTAGCTCATTAATTTTCTTTTTCTATGTTTTTTCCTTTATTTTCACCTAGTGGTCCAGCCAGTAAGTCTGTTATTTTTCATCTTATTTTAACAAACCAAGCTGTCCAGACAAAGTAGAAGTTAGAGGGTTGAAACAAACCATTTAACACTGATAGGGGTGTTTACAATGGTCAGCTTTTCTTTTTTTCATTTCACAATAGAGGTTTTGTTTAGTTTTTAGAGTACTAAAGAAACCTAGAAAACCATCAAAAATAGTTTCCATAGAAATCAGTGCAGGTACATATATAAGGTTCATATTTAAATGCCCATAATATGAGTGTAGCATAGTTTCAGAAGTACACAATAGACAACTCATATAGTTTTACAACTTCAAAATAACAAGCCGAAGGATCATATCTCTTGAAGGGAGTGAAATATGAACCATTAAAAGTTGAGTTTCATAATATTGTGATATAGCGGATGAATTTAACATCATATGTTTAGGTTCATCATAACCAATCAATAACCAAGTACAGAATTAAAAGGATAGCACAGCATCAGGATACTAGATTCTCATGTGCTCAGGTGTAATCTACGAGAGATCTTCAAAAAGTTTCTGTACTTTTTATATTTAAGTTGGACCGTTTTTTTTTTCCTTAATTCTTTTTCTCTTTCTCCTTTCACCCTTGTTCTCTGCATTTTAGATTGGCAAAAAAAGCTGCATTTTATCGACACTGTATATTTGAAGGGTATAGTTGAATGTGATTCCTTTGTTCATTATACATCTATTGCTGAACTCTCCAAATAAGTGAACTTTATGTACTATGCGATGTTCAAAACTATTTATTATTCAGTGTTGGCTGTAACTATCAAGAGCTTAATAAAACCTATAATTGTAAAGAAAAAAAAAAAGTTGAAAAAAAAAGAGGACTGGATGAGTAGTAATTGGTTGTGTCTGAGAGTGTCATGTGACTAGTATGTCTGGCAAGCCAGCTGACCTTGCAGTTTAGTATAAGAGTTGTCACGCTGTGGTGAAGATGGCTGCGAATGTGAAAGTGCAAAGTCATACACCTGTTTCCAGAATGTAGAGAACCAAGATAACTGCCACAAAATATGCAAAATAGTACCTTTACGTTCTGGCATCTCCAACAAATATCTTAAGTGTTAGGGAACAAGCTGTGTAGTTTGGTGGGTGTAGCATACCAATGTGTAAGAATTTTGGATGAGGTTTCCTGGTGCTAAGGGAGCATTTATGGGCCAATGTACAAGCACTTTTCCATTGCTGATCAGAAAAAGTTACATCAAAGGATTGACATATACCTAAAATTGTCTCTTCTCTCCTTTGTCTTTGTTTGTAACCAGGAATAAAAGAGAGAGGTAGTTTTTTTAGTTTCAGTACCCTTAAAGCGGGTGGATTCTAGCTGGGTGAGAGGTTTAAGAAAAGAATGTTTCTGTTTCAAAAGATAATTTCATAGCTGTAGATATGACCACTGGGGAAGTATCCTATCACCACAAAAATCTTCGTTTCTTTCTTGAGATCATCCCAGACATGCAGTGAATAGCTAATAGTAGTAACCCTTTTTCAGAGTTTAATTGTAATTTGGTGTGTAGATTAGGAGTAAACTCAGGGTTATTACCTAAAGGTGTTAGAGGACCTGCAACATTCACCAACTCCCTAGAGAGTGACAACTTGTGAAAGATCTCCAGAGTAGCATCAATAGTGGGGTGTTGTTTAACATGCCTAGGATAGTGTGTCCTACTAATCCATTGCAAGAACTTTATTGGAAGAGGAATATAGGAGTTTTCAAGATCAAGCCAATCATTATTCTCCCCAGGCCAAGTTACATTCCTGGCTAAGTGAGTAGCAAAATAATGGTAGGTTGAAGGCATACCTTCAGAGTCTTTAGATCTAGTCATCAAGTAGAATTGAATGTGGGGTTTCCGCTGACATGCATGCCAGAAAGTTGTCTGGGTAGGATTGTCGTTTTTACTATAGCTGCTCTGCCAAACCAAGAGAAATTGTTTTAGTTCCATTTCCTAAGGTCAGTTTCTGTAATTCTGAGAAATGGAATAAAATTCTGGGTATATAAGTTATCTAATGTTGGGGTAAGCCATACTCCAAAGTATTTCAAAGCCATCTGTTCCCATTTGAAGGTACAAACTGTTTTGTGCACATTTGAGAGTATCTGGAGAGAGTGTAAGATTACGCACTTCCAATTTGTTATAGTTTATTTTAAAACTGGATATATACCCAAAATTCTGAAATTTTTTTTAAAGGTTTGAAATAGACGTGTGAGGATTTGATATGAAGAATAACAAGTCATCTGCATAGGCTGCAATTTTATACTCTCTCCCAGATAAGTTAAAGCCCTGAATCGACTTGTTTTGGTTAATCATGCAAAGAAGGGGTTATAATGTCAAGATAAAAAGTAAGGGAGATAAAGGGCAACCTTGCCTTGTATCATTTTTAATACAAACTTTGTCAGACAGGGTCCGATGTACACAATGACTTGTGTAGGAGGATCTTGATAGAGGTATGAGATCCAGGACAGCATCTTTTGCTTTAGTCCTATATTCATGCAGGTAGCAAGCCTATAGTCCCAGGCAACCCTATTGAATCGCATTGGTAAAGAGGAG